TTGCAATGAAGTCTAGGGATTATCTACGTCTTTAGGTTCGCCAAACCTTCAAGTTTTTTGGTCTCCAAGTCCGCCCTCTTCCTTAAAAAAAAGGGAAGAGAAGAGAGGCATCAAAAGGAAACACAAGTATTAGGAAAAGATTGCTTGGCACAACGTTTCAAATTCAGTGAGACTTGAACCCAAGATATTTGTGAGAATATAGCTCTTAAATTTCAATTTATGGCAGGTAAGACATCTTCCGATCTCGAGGCTTCCATACCAAGATGCAAAAGTTTTGGTGAAGTCGCGCAATCTGAAATCGTCAGGGTGTCAGAATTTTACGTTGAATTTGGAATATTATCTGAAACTATTCTTAAGGTATTAAATTTTACATTCTGGATATGATTTAAATTTCGAAGTTTGGTTTCCGAAAAATCAAACGGTTCATAATTTCGACGTTCCTACACCAAGATATGAATTTTTTGGTAAGACTGCGCAAATCTGGAATTGATAGCATGGTGCAATATAAAGTTGATTTCAAAATATTATCTGGGACGATTATGAAGTAGTTTGATTGATACTTTTGGATATCTTTTATATTTTGAAGTCTAGTTTTCTTGAAATCAAATGGTTTGCAATTTCGATATTTCTACACCAAGATATGAATTTTTTGGTGAGACTGCGCAAATTTAAAATTGATAGCGTGGTGCAATATAAAGTTGATTTCAAAATATTATCTGGGATGATTCTGAAGTTGTTTGATTGAGAATTTTGGATATGTTCTAGATTTTGAAGTCTAGTTTTCAATAAATCAAACGTTTGCAATTTCGATATTTCTACGCCAAGATATGATTTTTTTGGTGAGACTGTGCAAATCTGAAATTTTCAACGTGGTGAAATCTAAAGTTGGTTTCAAAATATTATCCGGGGCGATTTTGAAGGTGTTGGAATCTATGTTTTGGATATATTTTAGATATTGAAGTCTAATTCTCGAGAAACCAAACGGTTCATTATTTGGACTCTCTCACGACAAGATATGAATCTTTTGTTACAAGCGCATAAAGCTGAAAATTATGCGACTAAGATAAAAGTCGGACAATGTAACGCAAAAGAGAAGCTGAAATATTTAAGCCCTCGAAGTCTCCAAGTTGAAGTCTTCAAGTCCGTCGGTATTCAAGTTGAAGTCTCCAAGTTGAAATCTTCAACTCCGTCGGTCTTCAAGTTGAAGTCTTCAAATTCGCCGATCTTCAAGTTGAAATATTTAAGCCCTCCAAGTCTCAAAGTTGAAGTCTTCAAGTTCGTCGGTCTTCAAGTTGAAGTCTTCAAGTTCGCCGATCTTCAAGTTGAAATATTTAAGCCCTCCAAGTCTCAAAGTTGAAGTCTTCATGTTCGTCGGTCTTAAAGTTGAAATATTTTAGCCCTCTAAGTTGAAGTCTTCAAGTCCTTCGGTCTTCAAGTTTCAGTCTTCAAATTCGCCGATCTAAAAGTTGAATTATTTAAGCCCTCCGATTCTTCGAGTTGAAGTCAGCAAAGTCCGCCAAATCTTCAAAGTTTTCCAAGTGTTCAAGTCGATGTCGTCTTCGAGTTGAAGCTTTATAACTTTCCAATCTTAAGGTGGACATATAAGTCCCTTTGTACCTTAAGTTGGCCTCTTCGTGGGTTTGTCCTTAAAAGGAACTATAACTTTCCAATCTTAAGGTGGACATATGAGTCCCTTTGCACCTTAAGTTGGCCTCGCCGATAGTCGAGCCACATTGAGAGTAATCTCTCCGGTAGTCAGGCCACATTGAGAGTAATCTCTCCGGTAGGCGGGCCATTTTGAGAGTAATCTCTCCGGTAGTCGGGCCACATTGGGAGTAATCTCTCCGGAGTCGGGGCATTTTGAGAGTAATCTCTCCGGTAGTCAGGCCACATTGAGAGTAATCTCTCCGGTAGTCGGGCTATTTTGAGAGTAATCTCTCCGGTAGTCGGGCCACATTGAGAGTAATCTCTCCGGTAGTCGGGCCATATTAAGAGTAATCTCTCCGGTAGTCGGGCCACATCGAGAGTAATCTCTCCGGTAGTCGGGCCATGAGAGTAATCTCTCCGATATTCGGGCAAGGATGAGTACTCATCCCCTCACACCCCAAGATTGTCATCTTCATGCATGGATCATATTGTTGAACAAGAACATATCTTTCTCGCTTGACCTACAAAAAAGAAAAAAGACAACAAAGAAGAAAGCACAAGAAAAAAAGAAGAAATTACCTTCGCGTTAATGCCTCCAAGTCGTCAAAAGTAGACTCAAAGCAATTTGCAAACGCTAAAGTTGGTACTGAAATTGGTACTAATGGAATGAAGGATGTGCTGTTTTATAGATGTCAAAAGGTGGCTATTGAAAGCTAAATATCGATGTGGGACAAAGATATTAAGGGCAGTGCAAAGTTTTCAAAACCCATTTGGTATTGGACAAGTTATTATCCGAGCAACTATCTGCCAAAAGCAGTTTGATTTATAGTAGAATTTGTTAAAATGTCAAAGTGGAATGCAAAGGAGTGTCCTACATGAAGTTGGTCACGTAAAATTCCATGGAAAGGCTCACGTTTAAATTCTAAATCTTCTTAAGTTATATTGTAACGTGAAAAGATGCATTGGTGAGAAGCCAATCAAAATGAAGTAATAATTACTTTTTACATACTTCAAGTCTCGTCTTAAAAGTTCGATAAATCTATACCTCGACAAGTCTTGAAGTAGGGGGCATTCGTAGGCATGCAAAATTTATTGAATTTAAATTTAATAAAATAATTTGGGCTATATTTTAAATTCAAGATATATTGGTCCAAATAAATACTACGGGCTAATATAATTGAATTAATTATATAAGTCCAATGTTATGTGATAATATTGTAAAAATACAGAAAAGGGAATTAGTAGAAGTTAAGGGGTATCTTAGCAATTATCATTAGTGATAGTTAGAGGTTGTTAAAGTCTGTTAGAAGCAGTTACATTAGAGAAGGGATTAGAACTACTTAAAGGGAATCTTCGTATTGTAAAAGGAGTTAAGAAGAAATAATACTACTCTCTCTTTCTCTTTCATAGTCCAAAATTCAGTCTTTGTAAATTGTTCAGGAGCTATTCTTGCACTTTGGTTCCTTAGATTTACAGAATTTCTATTCAATTCATTTAGCACATTCCATTTGGTATCAGAGCTTCAGCATCCTTGGCCGGAAAACATGCCGGAGGCGACGAGAAATGGTGAGATGCGTCGAGAAATTGAAGAAATCAGAGAACAAGTTAAGGCGATAGGAGAAAAACACGATGAGGTGATTGGGGAAATTAGACAGCTAATAGCGGCAATGACGGCGAATCAACAAGCGCCGGCGCCACCAGTAGCGGTCCCTCCAGCTGTAATTCATGAGAACGATGAGGATTATCTTGACAGAGGTAATTATCTTGACAGAGGTAACCCTAATTACAAATACTCTCGAGTAGAATTTCCTAAGTTCAACAGGAATGATTTAGAAGGGTGGATTTATCGATGTGAGCAATTCTTTGAATATGAGGGAACGAATGATGAGAAGAAGGTTAGAATAGCAGCCATTAACCTAGAGGGTAGAGTATTACAATGGCATCGAGCAATGATGAAGGGCCGAGTGGGTAGGGGATTACCCAATTGGAATGACTACCTTAGGGGGTTATACCATAGATTTGGCCATACCTTACATGAAGATCCGATGGCAAAGCTAATTAGCTTGAAACAAACGGGGAGTGTGCAGGATTTCTTGGATTCTTTTGATGGGCTGTTAAACCAAGTCGAGTTATCTGAGGAATACTCTATCAGCTATTTTTTAAAGGGACTAAAACCAAAAATTGAGGTACAATTGAGGATGTTATCTCCACGTACTCTAACAAAAGCCTACAGCCTAGCCAAATTAGCTGAACATTCCCTGAACTTGCAAAAGAATCAGAGGAGTTTCAGACCCTTATTGCCTACTCCAACTTCTTCTGGGAATTCAAACTCCATGGGGAACCTACAGATTCAAGGGGCTGGGAGTAGCAGGAATGTAGAAGGGAACAGATTCTTGGGTTCCAACGGGAAATCTGTAATAAAGGGATCTAGGAGATTATCCACAGCTGAGATGGATGAAAGGAGAGCCCAAGGGTTGTATTTTTGGTGCGATGAGAAGTTTGTCCCTGGTCATAACTGCAGGGGAAGGAAGCAAATGTATCTGCTAGAAATAGGAGAGGAAGATGAAGACTGGGAGGCTACTGAAAATTTTATTGAGGAGGAAAATAGAGAGGAATCAACTTTAAGTCCTCAGATGTCTGTTCATGCACTAGATGGAACAGTATACTACAGAACAATGAGGGTAAAAGGGGGTGTAAAAGGTAAGATGGTACATGTTTTGATAGATACAGGGTCTAATCATAATTTGATGGATCTGGATGTAGCTAAGAGATTGGGGTGCAAGCTGGAAACTATTTCTCGATTCTCTGTGGCAGTTGCCAATGGTAGCAAAATTCACAGCAGGTACATGATTAAGGGGATTACATGGAAGATGCAAGGAGTGGAATTCAGAGCTGACATGTTAGTCATGCCTTTGGGGGGAGCAGATGTTGTCTTGGGAATACAGTGGCTAGTCACTCTAGGGGATATTAAATGGAACTTTAGGCAGCTGAAGATGGAGTTCCAAATTGGGGGTAAAAAGGTGTCACTCAGAGGTAGCCAACCAGGTGCTCCTAAGTTGTTAGACAATCACAAAATGCAAAGATTGCTGCACAAATCTGGGGAGTTGAGCATGATGATCACAGCCTATGTTCAACCAATCAAAGGGGAACTTGCTACTTTGAATTTCCAACAAAGGCAGGACTCTGATGACTTGCAGAGGTTACTGGCCAAACACACTGGCCTCTTTGAAGCACCTAGAGCTTTACCTCCTCATAGAAGTCATGATCACAAGATTATACTTAAGGAAGGAACCTCCCCTATCAATGTCAGACCCTACAGATATGCTGCTAACCAGAAAGATGAGATAGAAAAAATGATCAAAGAGATGTTGGATTCTGGTGTCATCAGGCCCAGTGTAAGTCCCTATTCCTCACCTATTGTCATGGTCAAAAAGAAAGATGGTACTTGGAGGCTTTGTATAGACTATAGACAATTAAATAGTTGCACTGTTAAAGACAAATTTCCAATTCCTGTGATAGAGGAACTATTAGATGAATTGGGAGGGGCAAAGTTTTTTTCAAAACTAGATTTAAGATCTGGTTATCACCAGATTAGGATGGCTGACCAAGATATTGAAAAGACATCTTTTAGATCCCATAATGGATATTATGAGTTTGTGGTTATGCCCTTTGGTTTAACCAATGCACCCTCCACTTTTCAAAGTTTGATGAACCATATATTCCAACCCTTACCTCAGAAAGTTCATACTTGTATTCTTTGATGACATTCTAATATACAGCTCTTCTTGGTCATCACATTTAGTACATTTAGAACAAGCCTTCAAAATCTTGGAGGATAATAATCTATTTGTCAAGCTTAGCAAATGTACATTTGGTCAGACAGAGGTAGAGTACTTGGGCCATATTATCACTCAAAAAGGGGTAGCAGCTGACCCAGGGAAGGTGAAGGTGATGGTTGAGTGGCCTGTACCCAAAAATGTGAAGGAACTCAGGGGGTTCTTGGGTTTAACAGGGTATTATAGGAGATTTGTAAAGGGGTATGGGATGATAGCTAGACCCCTGACTGATCTTCTGAAGAAAGATAAGTTTGAGTGGTCTGAGGCAGCAACTCAAGCATTTGAAACTCTCAAGATGGCTATGAGTACAACACCAGTGTTGGCACTTCCAGATTTTTCCCAGGAGTTCATTATTGAAACTGATGCATGTGGGCATGGAATAGGGGTTGTATTGATGCAAGGGGCTCATCCTCTAGCTTATTTGAGCAAGGTATTGCATGCTAAGCATCAACACCTCTCATTGTATGAAAAGGAGATGATGGTCATTGTGACTGCAGTGGATAAATGGAGACCATATCTCATTGGCAGGCATTTTCTTATTAAGACAGACCACCAGAGCCTCAAGTATCTTCTAGAACAGAGGGTATCTACTCCTAGCCAGCAGAAATGGGTTGCTAAACTTATGGGGTATGACTACAGCATCATGTACAAGAAGGGGAAGGAGAATGTAGCAGCAGATGCTTTGTCAAGGTTTCCTATGAACAATATTCAACTCTTAACTATCTCTACTGTGTCTTCAGACTTCCTGCAAGAGTGATATCCTCTTACTCAAGAGATCAACATCTATAGCAGTTGGCATCTCAGCTTAGTCAGAATGCATTAGCCAATCCTATCTACTGGCTAAACGATGGCATCATTTACAGGAAAGGCAAAATAGTGGTTGGCCCTAACAAGCTTCTCAGAGATGACATTTTGCATTTCTTTCATGACAGTGCTGTTGGAGGTCACTCAGGAATGGCTGCCACCTTGCATAGAGTTAGTCAAGTTTATTACTGGAAGAAGATGAAAATAGGAGTTTATGAACACTTAGGAGCTGTGATACTTGCCAAAGGTGTAAGGGTGAGAATGTGAAGTCCCCAGGCCTGTTACAACCCCTACCCATTCCTGAAAAGGTATGGCAAGATATCAACTTAGACTTTGTTGAGGGGCTACCTAAGTTTCACAACAAGTCAGTAGTATTGGTGGTTGTTGATAGGCTCAGTAAATATGCTCATTTTATCAGTCTGGTTCACCCCTACACTGCCTCAACAGTGGCCCAGGCCTTCCTAGACAATCTATACAAATTACATGGGTTGCCCCAAACTATAGTGAGTGACAGGGACACTATCTTTTTGAGTAAATTCTGGCAAGCTCTTTTTGAGGCTCAAGGAGTTCACTTGCATCACTCTTCTGCCTATCATCCTCAATCAGATGGGCAAACAGAGGTGGTCAACAAGTGTTTGGAGAGCTATCTCAGATGCATGTGCAATGATAGACCCAAGGATTGGGTGCACTATCTTCCCTTGGCTGAATGGTGGTACAACACTACCTATCACTCTGCTATCAAGATGACTCCTTTTGAAGTCCTATATGGCCAAAAAAAACCCTCCACCTGCCCTATATTCCCCATAGTTCAATGGTAGATCAAGTTGACAGGAGTCTCCAAGCCAGAGAGACCACCATCAGATTGCTCAAGCATCATCTCCTGTTAGCTCAATCCCGGATGAAAGCTCAAGCTGACAAACATAGAACTCCTAGGAGTTTCAATGTAGGTGACATGGTCTTTGTGAAGCTGCAACCGTACAGGCAAATTTCCTTGAAGAATCACTCCTATCATAAGTTGAGTCCAAAGTATTTTGGTCCCTTCAAGATCATCAAAAGAGTGGGTACTGTGGCTTATCAGTTGGACCTACCTCCACAAGCAAAGATCCATCATACATTTCATGTCTCTCTGCTAAAGTCACAGACTGGTACTGCTACAGCAACGCCTAACCTGCCTATTTCCCTATCTCCTCATGGGTACATTGTACTGGAGCTTGAAGAGATTTTGGATAGAAGAGTACTCTTTAAAACAACAGACATGTCACACATCTTTTGGTGAAGTGGTTCAACTGCCCCACTGAAGATAGCACATGGGTCGACTTGCACGTCTTACAACAGCAATTTTCAACCTTTGTCCTTGAGGCCAAGGACTCTTAAGAGGGGGGAAAGTTGTTATGTGACAATATTGTAAAAATGCAGAAAAGGGAATTAGTAGAAGTTAAGGGGTATCTTAGCAATTATCATTAGTGAGAGTTAGAGGTTGTTAAAGTCTGTTAGAAGCAGTTATATTAGAGAAGGGATTAGAACTACTTAAAGAGAATCTTCGTATTGTAAAAGGAGTTAAGAAGAAATAATACTACTCTCTCTTTCTCTTTCATAGTCCAAAATTCAGTCTTTGTAAATTGTTCAGGAGTTATTCTTGCACTTTGGTTCCTTAGATTTACAGAATTTCTATTCAATTCATTTAGCACATTCCGTCCAAATACATATGGATTAAATAAATACCTTAATACATTGGGCTAGCCCATTTAACTGGGCTAAAGTGATGAGCCCACTTCGTTAAGCCCAAGATGTCATCCTCCTAAAGGCCCAGTTTGGTGCCACGTGTCAAATGACGTGGCGCGCCAAGTCAAGGGGAAGAGCCAATAGGACCATGCCACGTGTCAAAATGACAAGGCATGCCAAGTCACACTAAA